AAAATTTTTCTTATTTTTTTAGAACTTCAAAAAACTGATTTCATGGTGTTTGCTGGGAGACAGTACTATTTAGGAGACAAGTGTCAGGTTAGTACTTACAGCAGATTCAGTTATGATGAATTTTTAAAGTTGCTTGAAATAGAATATATTCCAAGTCTTAAAATTATCAGCTTGCAGGGTGTTCAAATATATATTATTTTCTTCTTTCATTATGCCTATTTAAATATATTTAACTTTCTTAAATGATACCTTTTTATATAAAATCTAAAAAATGGAAAATAGTACTAAAGAAAAGCAGCTTTGAATCGGACCAGGGACTAGTGCTATAAATGCTGGAAGTACAGGAGTTCCAGACTGAACTTCTAAAATGCAGAGGAGCTGGGGCACCTGCGCATTGATTAGGCCTGTGCTGAGTTCCGTCAGCTAATTTGGTCCTGCAGACTGGCCATAGCATTTCAACAAATGCCTAATTACATGGGAGGGGGAGGGCAGAGTGCTGATGTAGCAAGAGAGGAACAAGAGCTGCCAAAAGGAAACTGCTTGCCTAGATGCTTTGTCTCCAAAAAGTGGGAGAAAACAGATGCGTGAAGGTTGTCCCTCTCCAAATTGTCATTTTTTAAAATCTTTCAGAGTGAACAAGTTTGGGTGTCAAAGTGGCACCTTTTCTTGTTGGTGATCAACTTGCTTCCAGTTCACCTGTTTCTAAGTAATAAGACCTGGTTCTTTCTTCTACTTTGATTCTCAGCATTTTGTATTAGTTGCTGTTTGAGGTAGTGCTGTTTCTAAAAGAATGCCTTTTTTTTTTCCCTCTTGTTTCATCTCTCACCCTACTGTCCATCTCAACTCTGTTCTTTGCACATTCTTAAAAGCCATTCTGTCTGGTGTCCGACTTGCATTCCATAAAGCCATTTGAAAACTGTCAGGAAACTGTATTTCCTGATGTGCTGCGCTATTTTCTTCATCCATTGGATCACTTATCCCTCTCATCCTCTGTGTGTATTGGGATGAGTAGGGAGTGCTGCATTGGGGAATTCCAAAACTCTTTGCCTAACTCAGTGGAGTTTGGCTAGCACAAAAACAGACTCTTTTATTAGCGTTTGTTGGGGGAACCCAAGTTCTATTGACAATGAGCTGTGACACTTCCATATGCCTCTCGCTCTCTCCTCAGGTGCGTCTGGAGTCAGGAGGTAAGTATTACAATGCTCATATCCAGGAAGTCGGACAGGATGGAAACACAGTCACTGTGTTCATTGAAGAGCTGGCAGAAAAGTAAGCAACCTAAAGGCACCCCTCTTATTTGCTGTGAACCTCCTTTACCATCTGCCCAACCATGCATATGCATGGGTACACTTGTCTCTAACCAGGGTTGAAATTGGGGTCGTCAGAATGAACCCAAACACTAGGTTTTGGTTTCTTTTTTAGAATGTAAAATCAGACTCTCAGAAAGAAACCTCACCTCCTTAATTGGTTCAAAATCTTGACTGCAGCTTTCATTCTATTGCTAGTATCCAGAGGAATGACAGGTGCTTGGCTTTTCATACACTGATGTTTCAGGTATTCTCTGATGGTAATGCTTAATTAGAATCACTGTGTTGCTTGCCTTTTCTGGAAAGTGGAAGAGACCTTGCTGCTTGAGCTGAGTTCATAACAAAACATCCATTCTACATAGATGTTTCTAAATCTCCTCCAGTGTGAGGCTTGAATTGCAGCGAAATAATTAAGAGCATATTTGACACTTGTTCTGACAACCCTGGTTCAATGTTTTCTCCTTCCTTCCCATACTTTGGGAGGTTTTGTAAACACCTTAAGATTTATTTAATTAAGATAAATATCTTGTGTTACGCATGTTGCAAAAATGCTACCTTGTTATGTTTGTTGTGTACCTGTCTATAGTGATAGTATGTGTGCTATGGTGTCAGATGCAGAATAGAAATAAGATTTTTGTGGTGGACCCTTACTTAGAAGTTCTAAAGGCAAGAGATCAAAGTTTTAGTGTGTGGTAACCTAAAAGAGATTAAGATTGGTTTGGGCCTGAATAGCTACCTTATTTTGTGAAAGCTAAGCTGATTTGAGGTATCAATGGATGTCACCAAATTAATTTGATTAGCTGTGCCTGAATGTGTCCAGCACAGCTGATTTGCTTCACTGGATGAAACGGACCTTGCCTGTTGTTCTGCACTATTGGCCCCTGTGGGATAAAACTCCAGGCATGCCTCTGCAAATGGGGGAACTTAGGCAGGTACTCCTGGGCTTCAGGGGCCCAAATCCTGCATGCCACAACAGTGGGAATACCCAGGATGCCCAGAATTAGGCCTCTGAAACTTGGCCAGAGCTTTGAAGATATCTACTACAAAAGAGCGGCACCAACTTTTACCACTTAGGTTGAGGCCACACATTTTGGGCATTTTGTGGTGCAGTAAGGGGCATGCATGTTTGTTTGGCCTCTGCCTTAACGAAAAATTTTATGGCAGAACAAAGGTAACACCGATTTCCAACCCTGGATCCACATTTAATGAT